GCCCTTAATCATCTTGGTGTCCCTTCACAGGGCCCACTCCTGTTCATCCACATCTTCCTTATATGGGGAAGCCTAGAACTGGATGCAGCACTCCAATCATGGCCTCACCATTGCTGAGTAGATGGGAAGGATCATCTCCCTTGACCTGCAGGCAACGCTATTCCTACAAGATGCTATTGTCCTTCTTTGTCGCAAGGGCACATTGCTGGCTCATGGTCAACTTCTTGTCCACCAAGTCTTTTTCTGCAAAGCTGCTTTCCAGCTGGTCAGCCTCAGCCAGTGCTAGTGCATGAGATTATTCTTCCATAGGTGGAGGACTTCACATTTCTCTTGGTTGAGCTTTGAGGTTCCTGTCTGCCCACTTCTCCAGCCTGGTGATGTTCCTCTGAATGGCAGCACGACCATCTGGTCTGTCAAGCACTCCAACCAATTTGTATTGTCTGCAAACTTGCTGTTCCATCATCCAGATCATCAGCAAAAACATTAAAAAGTATTGGTATTGTATTTTCACATAGAAAACTTGTGCTTCAGGCAATCTGCACCTTTTTAACATTAGTGGAAGTTCAAGACGTGTCCTCAGATAATCTGTGCTGACGCACTACCGACAGAAGAGAGGCAGAGGGGAATCAGAGCTATGGAAGTTTCTGGGCTAGGAAGAGCAAGCTATGGAGGATCAGAAGCAAGGAGTGTTGCTAAGAAAGAGAGAGGGGTCTGGAATAAACTTTCCCCTACATTGCCTAGAAACATACATAATCCTCACTACTGCTGAATCACAGGGAGGGTTTTTGTTTTAAACAGATAACCCCTGAATTATTCCATTCTGACTGGTGCTGGAATTTTGTGTCCAAGTTGGCATATCATATTTTAAGAAAGATGCACACAAATTTAAGATAATCCTTGAGAGAGAAAAGAATTGGAAGCATATAAAAAAATCACTTAGAGGAGAAATTGGAAGAAAAGAGTATTTAAAAAAAGAAAACTAAGCAGTCTTACTCTATGCTAGTGTTTATTAGAAAGACGGAAAGGATGAAATTGGCTCAATTTGGAGACAAAGATTTCAGGTAGATAGTGGGGAAAAAAATGTACAAGTATAAGGTTTGAATAAGGCTTGCTTTGAACTTCAGGCTACCTAAAAAGCGTAGACAGGTCAGACAAACATTTCTTATAGGGATCCTGCCTCCAAGCAGGACAGACAGGGGAACTTGTGAGAACTCTTCTCTCCATATTTCAAAGGCTGCTGTACCCATTTGTAAGGCTTCACAAAGGTTTGCAGGATTAAACTTTTAAGTGTTAAAGAAGATTATCGAATCTACACCATTTCTCTGGGTTTTTTTCCCCCCATCCAAACAGTAATTGTTTGTGAAAGGGCTGACACTAAAGAGCAGTTGCCAGGGTTCATGCAAGTTCAGTTCCCATCTGATCATTTTAATGATGCTTTGGTGAGAATCTGTTTTCGTGGAAATAACTTCAGCTCTTTGTTCCCTTTAGTTATTCAAACCTGCATCCAAAACCCATGAGCATAGCTGATGGCTCGATATCCTCAAATGAAAATGGAGATTGAAATGAAATTCAGATCAACAAGAATTCTTAGAACAAGCCTATGATATTTTTCATGATATTTATCTTTCCCTTTTATAGAAGGACAGGGTCACAGCTCTAAATTCTCTTGTGTGATGGCCCAAGAGCCCAAGGTGCAGAAATCCAAATGAGCAGCAAGCTTGGTGGTATAGTCCCACCCAAAGATCTCTTCAAAGTGAGCTCTCTGCAGTAGGTACGTGCCTGCTGTGCTGCCTCCAGAGGGCAGTTGTCATTCTGAGACAGACAGGAAAAAAGGGAAAGGATTTTGAAGAAAAGTGCACAAATAAGGAAGTGACAGTATAATTGCAAAGAGCTGGAGGCAGATAGGAAGGGTCATGTGGAATTTGGACCTTTACATAGCACAAGAACTGCCTTAGTCATGAGAGCTCTGGGTGGCTGAGAGCACTGTCAGTGCATGCATGCTAAGCACATGCCAAAGGCCTCGCAGCATGGAGCCTGTGCCTTGGGTGGGTCCCCATCAGGAGCTGGGGGGGCATTTGGACTGAATCTCAGGCAGATTCCTCCAAAACCAACTCAGTTTACTCAAGGTCAGTGGAGACAGCCAAGTGATTTGCTTCAAAACAGCACTGCTCCCAACAGGACTGCTCATCTAGACACAACCTAGCTCAGTATAATCTGCACTGAGGTGGTCTTGGTTTCTATCCTTCCCCCCCACTCCCAGCTCCATGTTCCTGTCCCATCTGTTGCTGCCAGGGAGCAGCAAGGGCAGACTTCTCCCTTAGGGGAACAGGGGCCAACTGCAGCAACACAGCTAGCAGGGCAGGAGCCTTGCCAGCAAGGGTAGTATCCCACAGTACCAGAGTGAGGCAAGCATAGCAGAGCCAGAGATGGTAACCAGCTTCAGCCATGAATCCAGATCATCAGACAACTTCATACCAAGGAGGCAACTCCAAGATCAAGCTGAGAAGTCAATCTGCAGTTGGGGTCCAGTGATAGTAACCAGGATCAGACACAGTCTAGCAATTACCAGGTAGGTCCACAGTGATGAGGAAGGTCCAAGATCAAGCTGGGAAGTCAGTCCACAGGTCAGGGTCTATGGCCAGGCACATGCATGGCTGTGCCTGAGCTGGAGACCAACACCCCTACAATACAGCTCAGGAAGAGAACAAAGACCCAGGGATGAGCTTAAATGGAGCTCCTGGGCTCATGAGCAGAGGGTATGGGTAGAGGCCCCAGGTGAGACTGATCAGGACTGTTAAGGTCTGTTAGGGCTCTGAGGGCCCTAACAGTTGCAGACAGCTGACAGGACAATTCAGGGAGCTGATCTGGCTGAAGAGCAAGGAGTTTTCATCTTGATCAGCAGCCTGTTTTTGTAAGCTGCAGTGCTGACATGAGGGAGGGAAGGTGTGCAGCCAGGGAAGGGGGAGGATGTGGAAATGCTCAACCCAGACTTGCATCAGCCTAAGATGCCACAGAACTGCACTCTAAAAATTCATTTAACCATTCTTAATGGAAAAAAAAAAAACCCTTAAAAAAGTGCACAGACTTTTGTGGAAAAATATGTGACCTTATCTTTTAAGCTCACTATCTTCAAAGTTTTTAGCTCATATGGGGAAAAATACACCTGTCTGGGTAGAAGGCCAAAGGTAAACCTGTGTGCCATTTTATCTACTCTTCAGTCTCATTCTGAAATCTTTAAACAGTGCAAAACCCATAAGCACCACCTGGATATCTGATGCTCAGTAACTTCAACCTACATTAGTGAAACGATCTGGATTCACTTGATCAGGCGTGTGATTTTCCAGAGCTCGTATAAGGCAGTATGAGTTTTTGCATTTGTTTGTGCTATAGAAGAGCGTTTTGCAGACCCACCACCCAAGCAATTTCCAAATGAAGTATGTAAATAAACATCCACTTTGAAGCCCTCTCCTATAAGCAGCTCCTTGCAGAGAAGTGCTGTCACTCGTGCCCACATAAAAGCCCAAAGCAGAAGCTCATAAATCACCTTTTCTACTCTGTCACTGAATATCCTGCAGCCCGATGACCCTTCATTGCCTAGGTATAACCTCATCCCGTAAGCAGTGCTCCCACACCTGTGAGTAGAAACACACTCAATAGAGAGAGGAGCCACCATGTCAAGCAGCGGTAGGAAGGAACTGTATTTGTACAGAAAAGCTTGGCTTCTGGCAGAGACACTGCAAGGTGGAAAAATAAACCATGCAGATGCTTGCGTGGCATGGAGTTTTACTAGTCCTTAAAACCCAGTCAGGTTGCATAGCCCAACTCACGTTGGGAGGGTGAGGGCTGTGTGACCAGGCAATCATTTCAGATGATTCAGGAACATGCTTGAAGCAGTACCAAAGCCCTTCTGCATCTTCAGCATGATTCATGCAAGAAAGGGCTAAATTTTGCTTCTAGCTGTGTCCACCAATATTTATAAGAGAGAGAATTCCTGATAAATACAACTGGGAATCACCTACTTATACTAGAAAAGCATTGCTGTTACAGGAATATGCATACAGCTTCTGGACATAGGGGCAAGGGATGAGATTTACTGTACCAGCTCTGCATATGTCCTTGGTAGGAGCTTTTTCATTCCAGTATTCCCATATTGCTGAAGTGCACTAACTGCAGGATTTTGCTGGAGCAACCAAAAAATGCAAATGGGGCTGAATGTCATATCCCTGGCCATGTAGACGATAAAGATTTTGCATGTAATTTCTGCCTCTGCTGATGACGGCAGAATTTGACATCACAGAATCACAGAATCACAGAATCGTTAGGCTGGAAGGGACATCTTGCCCTCAAGCTACAAAGACCAAGATGGGAACAGAAAAGAAGTAGCTGTTACCTACTCTCAGTATCTGTGGGACTGTAGTGCCAACAACACTGATGCAAAAGGAAACCATTCTCATTTGCTGGTGAAACAGCAGAAACATGTGACTCCCATGCAGAAAGTATTCATGCAATATTGCACATAAGCAGAATAGGTCCAGTTCCTAGAAGTCCAAGTACAAGAAACCGCAGCCTATTTTAGAAACTGCACTAATGTCGAATCATAAATGTGAGAGGTCGTTTGCTTTCATGTGTAACCCTGTTCTTTTCTAGTCTTTGCCCCTAGGCCTTTGAATGACCTTGGGCAAAACGCATCCCTTCAGCATGTCCCACATCTGTAAACCAAGGATCACGACCAACTAGTGAAAGAACTAGCTGCTATTGTTACTTCATGGAACCTTCCTACACATAATAAAGGTATCGCTAAAGGGGGACATTCACTATTACAAGTTCCTAATAGAGTCTAGGTAAATTTTGTTATAAGAAAATAGGAACATTCCACTATTTCTGAAGCAAATGAGTCGAGTGACTTAGGAAACTGACCACATCACTAAGGCAGGGAAGGCATCTTGCTTATTCGCAGGGGCCTAAGATTGTTTTATTTACACTTTCATTGCTAGGGACTGTGAAATGGAAAAGAATTCTACTTACAAAGCTCTCTTCTTGGTGCAATAAGTTAGAGGATTTCTCAATTAGCACATGGAGCTTATGTGTAAAAGACAAGAGGTTAAGCAATACTGTAGTGTCCAATGGACCATCTGGTGAACATTAGGCTGCCAATAAATCACGAAAGCATCAGTTCATCAAGAAAATTCCATTTCAAACCACTGACAGGAAAAAAAGGATGGGAAAAACTCACAAAATTGGCATTTTCAGCTTTTATAAAAACAGGAGCATTAAATAACTTTAATCTAATTTCAATTGTTTTATTGGTTCTCTTCTGATGACCACATGGCTTCACATACTGAATGTTTATTCCTTTGTCTCGCACACAAAAGCACAATGAAATAATTTCATGTATAGGCTCATCACAGGAGAAGCTCATTGCTTTCCTCTTAGTCTTTCTCCTCGCCGTGGGTGATAACATAGCAGAGGTTCTTATAGTCAAGATTACCAGAGACATCTGGAGGGAAAGCAGCAAACATCTGGTTGATCTGCCAAGCAAACAGGAGATAAGCATTACAAACATGGGACTGTGGGACAGCAATATGCACTGCTTTACATTTTCCACCCAGTTCAGCTCCCTTCTGCCCTGATCTATTAACCACCATGGAAGTTTTTTCCTTAGTTTCAATAAAACTGAAATAGGAATTAGGACACAACTAGTTAACACAGCTCTGTTAGAATCCAGAAAAGTTCCCTGTCAAAAAAAGCCTCTCCCTAAGTCCAGGTAAGCCCTGACCAAATGATGTATTCCCGTCAGCACTGCAGCCTGTTCCTGCCATGACCAAACTCTGCTTTGAACCTCCTCTTCTAAAAAGAAAGTCCCTCTAAATTCCTCCCAGGCAACAGAATCCATGCTCAGGCTCACACAAACCGCAAAGCCAGTACCTCGTTTCAGAACTCATTTCAGATTTCAAACAAAATAGCTCTCAAAGAAATGGAAACCAGATCACAGTCCCCACCCAAACCCATTTGAACTCTAGTAAATTCGTTGCCCAGCTCATCATAGGAAAGAACAGCAAGAGATAGGCCACGCTTACACTTGGATGGAAATCCAAAGGATCCGTTTGACTTTGATTTAGGCATGGAACTATTCAGAAGAGATGCTTTGAATTGTTCCTAATTGCTAGAGCTGGCATCATCCTTCTCTCAGTCTAGACTTGAGCTGAGTTCATGCATTTAAAGAGGAGGCGAATGCTTATTGCTGAATAGTAGCTAGAGATTTATTCCTATTTTGAATAAGGCAGAAGGTCCTTACCTCTTCTTGGCTGAACCGGTCTGCCTGTGTCATAAGCATTTCTTTGATGCTGTTCAAATAAAACGAAATAACCTGATTAAAGGGTGATAATGGCACATGACAATTCAGATGGCAGGATCCCTCCTGAAGTTGCATGAAAGAAAATATGTGTGACCGCATAAATTAGAGCTGTTAATCCTTACATGATATTATAAGAGGTTTTCTGTGGACACCCATCAGTGTCAATGCCTCGCTCTGCCAACTTATTTCGCGTTTGTGACATTTTGTAGAGGTTTAAAATTGTTTAAGGTTATTACTCTAATTGTAATACAGCAAGTCTTTATGCTTATCTTAACCTAAAATAGTCGGTTTTCTCACTTGCTGTTTAAAGTTTGGATCACTTAACAAAGCCAAAAGAGAGAATATTTCCTGTAAAATCTGAGGATGAAAGGAACAGAGCATGAAATGAGAAAGAGGACTTGAAAGAGAACTCCAGCAGCTATTCCGTATCATCATCTGAGAATCCCTTTATTTGCATGCAGGCGTTCCCAGAGGAGACTGTAAAACTGCGTGAGATCCGTTGTATTTCATGGTACAATGTCTTGATCTGGAGTTACAGAACTGTAACAAGGACCTTATCCCACACACAATCTGCATCCCATGCAATTACATCAAAGAGAATATTTTTGGGGCAGACCCTCAGCTGATCTACCTTCTGTTTTCAAATCAGTGGTGGGAAGTCAGCTGAGCATGTGATTTTTTTTACCTGAGTTTATAGGTGAATAGAAAAGCCAGGAAAAATGATTACTGCTTGTAGTCTAACCTCCTCTAGATAAAATGCCTTTATATTTCACCCAGTTACTCATGTACTGAGGGCAGAACGTGTGCGATATGCTAAAACACTCACCAGTATGAACTCACGTATGCCACATAAACACTCCTTTCACTTGCACTGATAACTTCCCCTTTCTGTAGAAGAATTCCTATATTAATCCTAAAGAATTTGCATTCATGCTGAAGAGGCAGAGGGGTTGTCTCTTTTTGTTATTGCCAAAGGTATTTGTACATTATCAGAATTTTTTCCAGATCAGTAAAACAGTTTAACAGTTATCTGTGGTAACAGATGTACTGTCTGATGGACAAAAACAAAAGCTGAAACAAGTAAAGAAACCTATTTTAGTTCGTAGCTTTGGAAAAAGGCTACTTTTGGAGGGGAACTGGCAACGAGGGGAGTAGAAAACAGCCCTTTCTACTTTTTAAAGTGGATATTTTAAAATAACTATTTATAAAAGAAATCATGCCTGCACAAGAACACCTTTATATGAGCAAAATTCACCTGAGGTGCATGCAGATATTCAGGCAAAATACTAAAGCAGCTTCCCTTTCTTCTCCGCTACAACAGGCATCCCAAGTGAAACAAGTCATACAGATAAAAGTGTAGTTTTGGTGGGAGAGCTACAGCTGTACTTCCTCATATCTCTGACACGCATATTGTTTTTCCACTAAAAGGCTACAACAAAGACATACCCCAATTTGCATAAGAGGCATATGTACTTCTGAATCTCTTTCTTATTGTTGTAAAGTGCTCATTTGGAGGGATAGAAAGGGAAGTTTGAAAAAGGAAGTTTTGGGGCAACAAATAAAGACCTTACCAAAAAGGACAATTCATGCAAGTTTGGGAAAATACTCTGAATTCACAGACAGAGCTTAAGCTATGGTACATATTTTCCCTGCATTACTCTCCCATGCCATGTCTTTACTTAGCAGTCTTTCTTCATCCCTTCCTCTCACATTGCTGGTTTTGTCTTCTTACCCAGGTCATTTGTTATGTGACTGCAGTTTTTGAAGTGGAATTCTCCAATGATCTGTGGTTGCAAGAGCTACAGAGATCATTCTCATCAGCATAAATTGATTATTGAGTGTATGTACACTAGGACAAACAACATTAACAGATGTAAATAGGAAGCGTGATACAGGAAGGAGCTTGGTGAATAGAAGGAAGCACTTACAGCAATTTTGTCAGAAGTCACAAATAAACTTCATCACAAACAGGACTGAATTAAAAAGAGATCTGGGTGTTATGTGTCTTCTATTCACACGTTTAAAGTATTTAGGGGAAAAGAAAAGATCAAATGTCTAATTATAAACTTCTGATGCATTGCCCAGTAGACTCTGGCACACTTACAAGGAAGGAGGACTGAGTTAAGGACCTATGCACATTTTCCGTTATTTATTTTATAGGGAAATGAACACTCGCAATTTCCAAAGCTAGATTATGTACTTTCTTCTTTCTTTGTGTATCTTTTTTTTTTCTTTTTGAAGATTATCTGCGTCTCGAAAAAACAAAAATCAAAGTCTTCTGAGCAAAAAAGAATACTGAATTGCCTTGATGTGGGTGTCAAAATGCTGTCTCTTGTCCTGGCTGACATCAGTTGCTTCTACAGTTACAAACATTTTGTTGCCTTCTTATATTTTGTAAACATTTTTTAAAATGATCTGTGAAATCTCTGGGACACTTTGCTTTTTCCCTGGGATTGTGCCTCCCACAGTGCTGACCTGGAGAAAAACAGGTGATTTTTAGTGAGCAGTGCTCTACACCTATGATGAGAAACACCACTAGCTCAGCCAAACTGATTTCCAGAGGTCCAGAACATATTTAAATTCCCTGGGCCCCATATTCAGTACAAATCTGCAAAGTTTTGTTGGCATCAGCAGTAGCCACAGCTGATGTTGGCGTGACTCACTTTGTCCAATGAATGGCGTTTAGCACTGAATCATCTAACCTTTCCAAAAGCTATGCCAGTTTACACCAGCTAAGAATCGAACCTAACGCATTTTCTCTTTTTGACATCATGCTTAGGAAGGAGTTTATGTGTGGTATAATGACGCAGAGAAACACAGTCTGTCATCAAATTTGGAAGTAAGCTATAAACTCCTGGAGCTTCTGGAAAGGTTAGAAGACTCCATCCCGACTACCATCAGATGGACTAAGTGAGTCATTTCCAGACTAGAGGTGAAAACACGCAGAGGGAAGAGACATAAAAATCCCCAGAAGGATGTTAACTCCATGAACATAAAAAGAACTTCTGATTAAAAGGTCAACATGGCTGGTTTTGGAGAGAAATATTCCAGGATTTTTTAATATGGAGAAATATTATTTATTAACTTTAGCTGTCATATTGAAAGGGCTGTATGATCCAACATAAAAATTATTTCAAAACCTTCACATGTCTAAATTTTGGAAGCATATGAATAGAAGTTAAACCTCAAAGACATTCACGGAATTGATTTAATGGTTTGTTCTGTAATGATCAACATTACCCTCGGGTCTAATAAGTAAACATTATGCTCTGTTGTGGTGATGAACTAAAACAATTGTCTAATGCTAGCAGTGCAGTGGGGGTGGGGACAAGGCTGACCTTCTCCATCAAGGAAGAAAAAGTATTTCTCTCTCATCTTCATTTTGGAGTCTGATACAGCATTCCTAATTTGACTCAAACTCCAACTGGCTTCAGTGGGGCTTCCAGCATCTAAGGAATGTAGAGCTGGACATAGGGTGGCTAGCTGCAGATTTTGTATGCAGTATATTGTTACAGATAGTGGTGGGAAATAAAACATGTCACGGTTCTTGTATCATCAGAAGGTTGTATTTCATGGTTGTGATTTCACTACTGTGCGATCTGGCCTATTTGGAAGCAGGAAAATTTTACTCTGATTGTTTGAGGTACTTCTGAGGTACTTCTCTAATTCTTTTTCTCAAGCTGTTTGAATAATGTTAACCTCCTCACAAAACAGGAGGATTATTAACCTCTGTTCCTTCCAACTGTTTACTACATCAACTTATTGGGTCTTGATTTAAGTTAGAAGTTCTTCAGTGAAAGACTGTTTCTTGGTTTTTGTTTACATATTGCCTACCAGGATGGGTCTCTCATACCAGCCAGGAACTGAAGTGCCACTGTCATTGAAATGCATATTGGTAATGGAAGGAAATATTGTACATGAATTCACTATTTTTAACTTACTTGTGTAAGACATCAATAATTGCAGATAACGTCCTGGAAAACTCAACCTCGGAGACTCTGGTAACAGACTTAGGATTTGTTTATCACATTAGCAGAATCCATTGATGCACATACTGTTTTGTAACTCATGGTTCCTTAATTAGCTACCCATACATGCTACGCTTTATAAAACTTACCTGAACTGGCTGCTGCAGTAAAAGTATAGACCCCAAATTCGTCAAGAAATTTAAGCATATGCATATATCTAGGCACATAAAGCATTTCCCTGGAGCTGCAGGTCAGACCTCATCCATTGCCCTGATTTGAGGTAAGTTCTCTCTTTTACCCTGCTTACACCATTCTGGCGGCATAATGAGGATTTAAGTTTGTACGATCAGCAGTTAAAGTCCTTTTGCTGTGCTTTTTTGGTGTAACAGGTTATGAATACAAATTAGACCCTGCCTCTTTATTGTAAAAATAGGTTAGGGAGCTATACTGATAATAATTGTCATATTATTAATAGTAATACTTGATTTGGCTTCCACAGTATTTACAGGAAATTTAAAGCAAATTATTGTCTAGATGCAGAAGGCTCAAACAGTACACGAATAACAAGGGCAACGTCCTCGCTAAAACCATGTCCCCGAGTTAATTAAATTGATCACTTTTTTAAATCACTTTTTTGAGGACTAGCATTCCCATTTTAGTCAAGCACTCTCAGAGTTAGGCACCAGACATTCATTTTAATTTTACATATGGAGTTAATCTACAAAAAGTCATGTGTTGATTTATATCCAGACCTTCAAAAAAGGCTATCTAATGGCCTACATGTGATTATATTTCCGTTGCCTCTTGTAATGTCTGAAGACAATAATATCTCTTTTTGGTACATAAATACACTCATACAATAGTCTAGTCTTTTAACTTGGGCTTACAAAGCTAAATGCTTCTCTGCCTGCCAGTTCCTCTGCCTCTTAAAATACTGTAAAAAAATACAGCTTTTAAATGGTCCTTTAAACTGTACAATTATTCTTATTATTTTAAAAGGATTTGAAATAAACTTACTAGTCTGCCTTTATGTGGCCTTTTCCTTCTGGGTCGAAAATCTTAAAAGCATTCAAAATGGTTTCTTCTGGGTCCGTGCCTAAAATTAATGAAATATAATTTAGAAGCCAGGGTGTATTTCTATAGCAGCCGAATACTTGCTAGGTAATTGCGCTCACTTGAAAACAGAGCAAAATGGAGAATTCTGCAGTTGTAGGTTTGAAGACAAAGGTTTCTTGAGACGGCAGCATTTGTCATGTCAGATAAACAATGGAGGTGAATAGTTCAATGCTCAGAAGCTTAAAAATAATAACTCATATCTATTCTATGTCTGCAGGAGAGAAAACTTCCAGGAACTGGTCTCCAGTATCAGTACCCAGAGGATTAGTGGCTTTCAGAAATGAAAATATAACAAACTGTTTCCCTGACTGGCTTCCTTTAATCTTGTACTGTACACTCCTTGTAAAAACACTTTTTGATGTTACTTGTTCTGCACTATATAGAGAAGAGGTTATTTCCCCCCGCTAAAGGAAATGGAGCTCATCATAAAATCAAAATGTCAATGGAATGCAATGGAAACAGGATGATCAATGTAAAATGGTGATTTGCACTTATGTTCTGTAGTGCACTTCCACTTAAGGATCTCTTCATTAAGTAAGTGTTACTTACAGAAATAGGATGGTTTAAAGCACTAGACTATGGCTCCATGATTTTGCTTCTGCTCATAGCTGGGCTACAGATTTTTGGTATGACTTCAATTTCCCTGCTCCTTTGTTCCCAGCAATAAAATGACAGTGATATTTTTCCTTTTCTTCCGTCCTTTATCTGTCCCATCTATTTAGACTGGAAAAAATTTATTCAGGGACTAGCTTTCACAGCGCTTTAATCTTCACTGGGGTTTCTGAGTATTCTGCAATATTGCAAATTCTGGATATTCTCATTTATAGTCAGTTTCTACCCACACTGAAGTGTACCGCATATACTCTGTTTCTGACTAATCTTTAATATTCCATAACATTATGGTACCATAACACAAATCATTATTTCTAACTGTAAGAAATCAAATTTACAAACACGTAACCTGAGCCACAGACAAATGAAGCTACTTGGGACACTGAAATTTTGAAAATGTAATTAAAAGAGGACAATTATTCTGAGAATGTCAATAGTATTGCACTTACGTTCCAAAGTTTGACCAAGGTAGAACCAGAACAGAACCCAGGCAGGGTTGCCTACCCTAACTGTTATATACGCTCCCGACACCTCCTCAGTCTTCTTTGTTTAAAAGGTTTCACAAGGATTAGTAGCAGTTATCTTACTAGATATAATGATCAATAACCGGAAACATGGCCTCCTCCTTGTCACACACGGGCCATATATATTCTTCTGCCGAATTGTAGGCAGCGTATGCAAACTGCAATGAATATATGATCAGTACAACAAGCTTTGGTGTTTAATTAGAGTGTTTTGATTGTCCCATGAAGAGAAACTTCTTCCAACTCCAAGGAAGGGGCTGCATTTTAAGTAGTCACCACTGTGTGGGGGATTTTTTTCCTTACTGTGTTTTACATTTTCTACTCTGTCATATCCTTGGACTTTGGCTTTGAAGGGAAGCAATGCAGCAGGCATTCTTTATTGATTAGCTGGTAAATAAAGTGGTTTCTTTGATGTGCGGCATCTCTGTTTTCTGTACAAATTGTATTATTCTGACTCCCTGTAGAAAGAGCTCCATGTGGTTGGCATTAACATAAACTGAGTTTTGTTAGCTGTTCATCTGGCATCATAATCTCAATATACAAAGCTAAAGCTCGTCCCGAAAATCCCAGCTTCCCCTTTATGACAGAAATCAATTACAGCACAACAAATTTTACTTAGAAAGCACCTTTCACCAAATTCTCTGAGTGGTACTTAGCTAATAAAAAGTGTTGCAAAATTGCCATATCCACTTCCTTTAGCCCTTTCTCCCTTTCTAATTGCACTACAAAGGCTCTTCATCCCAATTAGTTTTGATTGGGAATGTGCAGTCTTTTGGCTCTGCTTCCTTTGCATGACAAACCCAACCAGAAGGGCATGACAAGCACAGCTGTGATTTTCCCTTCACCAAATGGAAATTTTAAAAACCTCCTCCTCTGCTAGTAGCCAACAGGAAACCTGTAGACAAGAGGGGTAGGCTTCACCATTCACCTTCCTGCGCTGGCTCTGGTTTTAAGCCACACATTTGACAGGGCTGGACTCTTTGCCAGCTTGAGCTATTGTAATAGACAGGAGAGGGAAGAGGGGAAAGGAAGAAGAGCTCGTTTTCATGCACTGTGTGATCACAAGCATCGGGAATAGATAGGAATGTGTAGCAGGGCACCCCACCAGAAGCAGTCACATATGCCAGAAGGAAGATCATGGAGACAGCCATTATCTCCTGTGCAAGACGATATCTGGAATAAAGGGGCGGGTACCACTGTGATCGGGACAACCCAGTGTTTGGTAACAGCATCCCCTCCTCGGTGTCCGTCTAGAGCCTTCTCCATCAGCTTTTATATTTTTCAGACAGGCTGTATTCCTTAGCAGTAGCGTATTTCTTTGAGGACATCATTTACTAGTTATATTAGTTCTTCCTTTCAGACGTCTCTACTTTCTATTCTAAGGGTAAAAAGCCTTTCATTGAAATTGTGCTCAGCAGTATAAAACCAAAGCCCAGTAGCAATTCTTTTCTTTTATTTTTTAAGAAGATGAAAGAGGTTTTTTTTTTCATTTTTCTGTTCATTTTATTTGTATCAGCATAATTGCTACCCCAAGAAAAAAAAGGGGTGGGGGAGAGAGAGAATCGAATCATGTTAGCTATTTTAATGGACTTCTGGGATGTGCTTGGCTAAAGTCTGAAAGCAGCAGAGTGAGGCAAACTACCTTGCACTGAAGGTCAAGGCTTTCACCAGTCTCTAATGCATACAGGAAGATGATTAGAGGTTCCTCTTGGCCTCACACTCCCTCTCTTGCAGTTTTCAGCCATGTACAGTGTAAGAGATAAGACGAAATTACTAGCTTCCACATAGAATTTAGTATCTATGCTTTCTGAAGTCCTTACAGTGATCCCTATATGTTCTGTGGCCATGGGCCAAATTCCTCTTCCTTATCATTCTGTTGAAGTCCACTGAGATTAAATCAGCCCAATTTATCCGCTAATTAGGAATTAGGGATTACCATTGACCTCAAGTTAGGCCAAGGCTGGGACTTGGGTTACAACTAACACAGAAAAAGAGGCAAGGTCATGCTGCTCCTAGAGATCCTTCATGCCCTGTGAATTACAAGGAAGGTGCAGAGGTCAGGTTTGCATTACAAGGCAAAGGAGTAGCAAAAGGTTCATTCATAGAAACGCTGAAGATAGATAGCTTTAAACCAGGTAACTCTGGTAGTGATACCGGTGTAGTATGAGCAACGAAGACTTCAGCCTGGGGACTTATAGATGGTGAATAATTCGTCTGCGCTGTGCTCTGGGCTGCCATGATTTCATTACCTTCTGGACCTGAACGTGCCACTTCCGTGTTAGCTTATGCAAGCTGAAATCACACCTTGGAATTGTCCTCTAGACTGTCCCTTAGCCTGTTTGTACCTCAGCTCTGTCTGCAGAAATGGAGATCACTTCTTGCCTCTAAGCACTTTTCCGTGGATACATTACTACAATTTGCAAGGTGCTGAGTTATTTCAGTGCTGAGAATCTTTGACAGATACGTCTCCAGCCCCCAAAGGTACTTACCTTTCAGCTTTTCCCCAAACATAGTAAGGAAGACAGTGAAGTTAATGGGACCTGGCGCCTCCTTCACCATTTCTTCTAGCTCTTCATTCTTGACATTCAGACGACCTGCAGCAGAGATCATTTTTCATAATAAATCACAAATTGTATTTCAAAAAAATGATTCCCATTCATCTCCTCCCACTCGTGAGCTCAGGGCTCTGTGCAACTTTGCTAATAACATGGCAGAACACAACTCCAGAATACTCCGATGTAAAACAAAGTGGAAGAATTGTCTCTAAGATCAAATGATGAGTGAAGGAGTAGGCAGGATAAGCAATACAGACCTGGCCAGCAGTGGACAAAAGAAGAGGCCATTTCCAAATAAATTATTTTTGTTGTTTTTTTTTTAACCTCAGGTGAAATACTAGCCCCACTGATATTAATAGCAGAGCTCAAAGTGACTGAAGTGGATCCAATATCTCAGTCTTTGCCCTCTTGTATATTGGGATGCCTTTGTGAGTAGAGAACAGATGGATGAATTCAGTAATCCTATTTCTTCCTCGTCATTGTGCTGGACTATTGATAAGAGTTTAGACCCTGGCACCCCTACTCAAATGGAGTGGTAATTTGCTATGACTTTACTTCATAGGCATTCAAGAGCTTCACTGACCGGGAAGGATACCAGAACTTGGCCTTAAGAAATAAATACTTCAGGATAGCAGTAGCTACAGGCCAAAGTTTGAAAACCTCACTGTCACAATAAAGAGCTCAGGAGCTGCTGCTTTTTGCACTGACTCTGCTGGAGTCTGACTCCACCCCAGGGAGCACTAAAGATTCTTATCAAACTCTTTTTAATAAGATCCAGATGGCAAAAGCCCAAATGCCTACATCACTGTTCAAGCCTCAAATATTGCAACAAGGATACAGCTCCATGTTTGGGATCGTGAGCACTGTGACTTTTCCTTCACTTGGGAAGATTTTCTTTAATCTGCCTGATGTTGACAGAATCGTGATGCACATGGAATGGACAGTACTTAATCTCATGACATGCACATTCCACCCCACGTCAAGGCACAACAGCACAGAACCTCACATGAAGTCTCCGTTCTTTGGTGTGGGCAGAGGGGCAGCTAGTCCATGACGGGAACATTAATTGGTAGATATTGCATGGCTCCTAGATGAAAAAGGTACAGCTTGTGAAGCCTGGATTCAGAGGCAAATCAGAAATGCCTGGCACGGACCTCTACTTGGGTGGGCTTTTTATGAAATGGTTGAAGGGGAGGGATCAGTGCCTCTGGAGAGTTGCCAGGTACACAGCTCTGTAGCACCTACCAGTGAGACCCAGAGGGACCTTCATTTACTTTCTGAAAGAGGCTGCTCAGTAGACTTCCCAGCTGGAGATGTGTAGTCATGATAGCAACCACCACAAAGAAGGAAGATCAAATTGAACAGGTTTCCTTTTGTCTTCTGTGCATCTCTTGAATCCCCCTACTCTAATTCTAATCGAAACCTTTCTTACGTGCCTGACGCTCAACCGCACTTCCGTTACTTTTTGTTATTTGATTATTATCATCAGTTTACCTAGAGCAGCGAATGTGTCTCTCAAGTCTGCTTTGTCAATGAAGCCATCCCTGTTCTGATCCATGATGGTAAAAGCCTGTTGGAAGAAAAGGGGCAACTTACTGTCACTGCCATGTTGCACTGGACAATGCTGCAATCACACATACCTGTCCATGGGGCAGTATATGGATACTGTAAGGAGGAATATTTAACATCCTTTGATTCATCTGCACCATACTACATCGCTGTGCTTTCCTCACTTTCAACATATTACTGTATCTTGGCAAGGGGCTTAATTAAACCCTCCCAAACCTCTTCTTACTAAATTAATGCTCAGTGCAGCGTGGTGCTGGTCTGAAGCCAATGCTGGCAGCTTTAGCCATTCAGGCCTTAACCCATAAAAGTTTGAACTAGGGAAGCTCTAATCACGGGTTACTGGGTGTGTTTTGTACCTTTCCCATATCCCAGTCCTTTGTTCAGCTCTCGTGTTCTGTAAAACATTTAATTACTGTAGATATCTCTTTACTATTAAGCTAAATTCAGTTTCTTTTGGACCTTAAAACAACGCTTCACAGAAGGAAAGCTGAATTTAAAAGAGTACACAGAAATTCAGGTTTCATGCTATTATTTATTCAAACTTTGTTTTCCTTTCCTATAAGTTGTGCCCTTCACACAGTACTAATTGTGCTCCGGATGACCTTAATGCGCTGACCTTAAATACGTCTTGTCAGGCAAAATTCAACTTTTGATTTTGATACAACTTTTTCTGTTTTCAGCCAGCACAGGATTTATATACTCTATCCATTATTTATCCAGCTCACTAATTGTCTATCTACCTATTTGCATGTCTGTCTATTTTCTGCCATCACACTTTTCATGTTTCATTGGTTCTGAAGGATTTTAATGACCTCAAATTCCCCTGAACGTAGTATGAGGAATATTAGCAGAACCAGTCATGTCTCTGAAGATGGTTATCTGTCTGACATGTACACCGATATAACAGTGTATCTTTACAGTGACCAGGAAACATTTTACTTCAGGATTATTAGGAAAGATAACATTCTTCTGAGAATGCAGCCAGGCCATTGCAACTACAGTAACTGGTGGAGTTTTAAAGTCTACAGGGTGCACTTCTTTCCATGATCATATTATAGCAACACATCTTCATGTAGTTTTACCTCCAGTTTCTTACAAAGCCTCACTGCTCACGTTCCAGTTTGCCCTTGTGATTACTTGCAACATGCTGCTCATAACCCTTCATTTACTTGCCAAGCTATCACCTAAGAGAAAAATTAAGCCCAACTCTAAAGAGTTGCTTTCATTCCTTTTTGGGGGGCTTGCTTTAAAGGGTGATTAAGCACCCCCACAATTTGGAAGCAAAACAGAAGGAAATATGAGCAGAGCCCTGCAAGCTCACAGAAGAAAGGAAGAGCTTTAGAGCTTTAGAGCATTTTATATCTTAATGAGTGAAAGTAATATAACATAATCACCATGATGCTGAAACATTTTCTAGTGAGCTCCTTGAAATGTCTGGATGAAACTATTCTGATCAAAAACAACTTTTCAACTGAAGTAAAGAAATATTTTTGCCCCAAGCATACATTTTTTTTAATGTGACATTGCTTGAATCCAGTGGAGTGGACCACTCCACCATCTCAAGGCATTACATCCTTCTGCCACTGTCCCCCCAGAAATGTTCCAAACACTATCTTATTTAAAGTAATTTCAAAAACAGCATTCTGACTAGCACTTATTTTTGAAGCTAGGTCTTCAGACAGCGTTCCTTGGAGAAAATAAAACTGGAAGTTCATAGGGTTCAGATGGGAACTGGGAGAAGAGTGTTAAACATGTTCCTGTTAACTCTGTGGAAAAAGTCAGCAGTTTTAATTAATTTACTTGGGCCATATTTACAATCCTCTGTATGGATTTTTAGTCTCACTCACCGCTGAGCTTTACTGGTGGGAATCCTCATGAAAAGTTGAAAGTCACATGTACAAAATTTATATTATCTATTTATCACATTGGATTTTACTTTGGAGATGTGTGTGTACAGGCTTGGGTAACCAGTCATAGGTAACTAACCAGCAGCTCAAAATGTAATAACAAAGAGTTAACAAAAATGGACAAATATGAGTAATTTATAATCACAAACCAATGGAAACTATGATGACCTCATGGACATTCCAGAATCAGAACAAGAGTGTAAACTCATCAAACAAACTATCTTTCTTTAATTATGCATCACCTTTTACGCCAGCCTATTAGATTCGCCTCCTCACAGGTAACGGATGAAAGAATCCACAATGCCTGGTAATACCAAATTCTTTTGGGGCTGAAAGATGCTTTCTTAGTTAACCTCAGCATGTTGTTTTCTTTTATGGGCATTTAAGGTGAAAGCAGGCTGAGGGCTTCTCAGTATTTTGGTTTTTTAGTTTGTGGGCAGTGTTAGTAGGGCACAGAAGAATATTTTCTATTGCTGTTGTGGAATAGTCCACTAATTAAAGTCCTGGTTCAATAAAGCAGCTCTATTCAGGACAACACTTGAGCACTTAAGACTATTCTTATTAAAATGCCACTTAACTTTAAACATGTGCTCAAGTGTTTTCCTGAATCAGGGCTAAAGTAAATGAGATAATAATTTTATTTTTTGTGGACCTTGGGGGCTTTTTAAATAAGCCTAGGGTTTGAAACAGGAGAGTTAGGGAGGAACAAAATGAAGGAATGAAAGAATGAAGGAAAGAACAAACAAACATACAAGGAAAATGATATACCAGCCAAAACCACAGAGATGATTCAGAAAACAACTGTGTGTTCTATTAAAGCAGATGGAGAATCGAATAAAGATTATAAACAAAACCTACGTTACCCATTAGCAGTGATGGGACACTATAGAGAACAGCAGAACAGTGACCAACCTCTTTGAACTCCTGGATCTGGGTTTGTTCAAACATAGAGAATACATTGGAACCACCTTCTATCCTCTTCTTTGCCTTTTTTGGAGCCTGTAATATAAATAAGAAGATCAAGTATGTATTACTCTGTCTGTTAAGAACCCATGAAAACAAGCTTCATCTTTAACTGAAGGTAAAATATATACAGTCAAGTTATACAAGAGGATTGTTGTGTTTTGTAGGACAAATTTTTTTAATTCAATCCTCGACAGATATATACATGGCATAGGAAGACGCTGGTTTAGTTGCAGATGAATCTCTCACTAAGAGTTTCTGCCATTGCCTTGCTCTGGCGTGGAACCTGACAGCTCAGAGAAACAAGGACGGCTTGTCACTGTGCCGCCTTGAAAGCAATGTGGGACCCAAAGTGTGACACTGAGACTCACAGCTGGGCCACTGCTTGTTCCTTGGGGAAAGCAATCTCTGCCAGAGCCTTTGACACAGGAGTCTGCTTCTTCTGCCTTGGCTTTGCTGAATTCTCTGGTAGGAGAGGAGTGACATAAGCTTATAGTCTCACTTGGAGATGTAGGCTGAAATTCCCATACCTGCTGTTCTCAACAAATACAACTAATTCAGGCAAGTGGCTATGGGAACTCCTTCCCAGCTCCTGTGCAGGGGTAGGCAGCCAGACTCGCAATGAGGCACTGCATGAAGACACAGCTACGGAGCTACAAAGGGAAATTATATCCTTTCCTAGTGACACAGAAATGTTTAGAAGTCTGCTCTTCTATATTCTAGCACCAAGCTATGACAATACACTATGTTGCCTCACTAGACCAGATAACCACGTTATCTTCAATAAATGGAAGGTCAGGCTTTTATTGTCATGTTATAGTCTGAAGGCTAAGGCATAGAAAGACTGGGGGGAGAGCTGTGATTATACTTAAAAACCTAATATCCACTAAAAATCAATCAAAACTAGGCATCATTATATACCTCTGAATAAGGGCCCAACCAGCTTGCCTAAAACAACAGAGTTTTTGTTTTGCAGTAAGGAATCAAATCTGTGATTCCTGGATTACAGAAATGTTTTAACTACAGCATTATTCTTATTTGGGGCAGGACAATGGGCTACACTATCTCTTGAGCTCCCTTCCAGATAGATTTTTTTTTTCCATATCATTTCTACTTTTAAACTTCATTATCGCAGTCCCACCTGGTTCTCATGTCACGGAAAATTAGTTTTAATCAGTTTGGGCTATTCTACATGAAACAGCAGGCAACTTCTACTGTCTCCTTTCATCAAAATAAAAATCCTGTGAAGGTTCAAATTCAATACTGATTCCAAATATCCTGAGGAGCAGAGCAGCTCAAGGAAATATTCCCACTTGACTCTGTTAGAAGCATACATTGTCTGATCAATTTAATTTGCCAGGCAGATTTCCACATTCAGCCATCCTGTTGTAGATCCCAGACTGAAAATTAGGGCTATGGTAGACGTTCACCCACATGCCCACACTCCAGATCTGTCACTCTCCAATCAGCTAAGGCAAAGTACTGAAATCTGGATATAGGAATGGAAATGAAAAGAAAAATGTATTTGTAGTGAGGATAAAAAGAAGGATAAAATGCCACCCCAAGCACGGAAAAAAGAGTGAAGAAATGGAATATTTAATGAATGTAGAAATATTGATTTTGGAATAAAGAGATTCCCTTCTCCTCCTACACATGAAATAAGTGTTATTTCGAGCAGCAGTGGGCAGCCTTCCATGTAACGTGAGGTGCCTAGTGGAAGTTTTCAACACTTCCAGATTGACTGGAAATATTAAGGGCAATCCTACGTATTTACAATGTATTTGTTCCCTGAGGTAAAAAGAAAGCAGATGTTACCCAGTGGAATGTATTGCGAGCTGTCTAGGGGAACTGACCGCATGGCACAAGGGTGGCCTCAGTGCTGTCGGATGCCGTAGCAGAAATGGTTCTCTTGTGATCTTGTAGCTGATCGTTATGAAGGCAAAACACATGGTTTACCATTCTTATATTCTGCTCTGCTGTGGCTAAATACAGCAGTCATTTTCAACACAGTAAACATTTTCCGTGCCAGTAAATAATTTGCATCTTTTAAGGTTAACACCACAAGGGAAGAGAGGGGGGTCCAGCTCCAGTTTTTGTGACCTTTATCTTCCAGACCCTGGCAATGCATCCATTATTCCTCAATAGAGTTTGATGGGTTCTCTGTGCAGTAACGCTTTAAGCAGGGATTGTAGCAGTAAGGAAGGGTCAGACAAACCCAAAAGCTGTGGCTCACAATCTATTAGAAACAGACCATCAGCAACAACAAACATGACCCAAAAGTTTCTTAACGTTAGTGAAATTCTACTCAAGGCAGAAGAGATTGAAGCCTATTTATCCAGAGAACGATTACCATACTAGGACAACTTCATCCCAGCATGATACTTGTTCGTTGCTACTCTCTTGTTATTAATCTCTAGGAATGATAAAGGACATCAGTGCCCGTGTGGCTCATTCTATCTTTAGTTTTCCTGCAGAAGCTCTGAGTGTGGATCCTATTTATGATCTATCTGGTCACTTGTGGAATGGGACTAAGACCACCAGTGCATTTCACAGGGACCAACAAACAGCTGTCAGATGGGAATGGCTTTCCATCACCAGTTTCAAGCTAAGTCTGGTGGCATCAAAGGTATCCAGCACTCTGGATCATCAGTCTCCTTTCTTTTTGTATGTGCAGTACCGGGAACATAATTTGATCTGTTTCAAAAAACCAGGAAATCCATAATCACAGAAAGAAACTATGACTTGATTTTGCATGACTGGCAGATAGGGAGCTGGGATGAAGAGTAAGGATGAGAGATAAGGAGGTAGAGCAAGAATGAAGAACAGTATATTGTCACTGTCTTTTTGATGGGCAAGTCAAATCCAAAGGCAGCTCTAGGGAACTAGAAATAGGTCTGAGCTGCTGGCTGACACTTCCAAACCCTCCGGAGTTCTTTAATGAACAGAAACAGGATTCTGACTCAGGAGTATCTCTCCGAAAGAGTTACACAGCAAAAAGGATAACAGAACTGAGCAAATACACTGTTTCTGAACTGAGACCTGTCAGGGATTTAGTAGGTGACCTACAGACAGGCAAGGAGGGGAATGAGACATCACTACCCTTTGCTTTGATTTCTCCATTTGTAAAAAGCAAAGGGCATCTAGCTGCACTTTGCAAAGATGGTTGCTCTGTCTTTGCAACATGTGCTCTCAGACTGACATAGAAAATGTGCCAGATGAGAGACTGAAAAGCCGGGGGTCTCCTGGGCTTGGATTCCAAAGCCTTGATAGCGCAGCAGTGGGAAGAATGTTGCAACAACTGAACAAGCCTATTAATATTCCTGCCTGAGTGTATTAATCATCCCATTGTGAACAAAACAACACTTCACTTTGGAAGAGAAACCGCAGGCTTGTCGCGTATCACTCATTTGTCTTACTAGTGTTAGCACTCTCTCAATTAGCCCAGGTTTTAAAGGATCTCTTTGTTTTTTGTTTTTTGGTTTTTTTAGAGGCTTTAAATGAAAAATAGATCCATGCCAAAATCTGGTCCCATGACGCTTTGCTGAGCCAGGCTCTTACTTTGAGTTGTGTTTCCCTCACTGAGATTCTTTATATTTCTCCTGTCCGGTACTGTCAGGGAATCTGGTAGTGCAAGGACAGGGCATGGACATGGACAAACAGAAACAATGAGCATGCATTGTCTTTGCCTTTCTGGAGAAGGCGTAGGGAGCCATTGCGTATATGTTTGGGTTGAGGGGGTACGTGTGCGTGCATGTGTGTGTTAGTGAGATGTGAAGGGAATACGTTTAAGTGCATTAGAGTGAAGGAATCTCTTCTGGCTTCAGGGCAAACTACAAAGAAAAGGGGGCAAGAAATCAGCTCATATCTTCACATGCAAAGGAGAGAAAAGCAGAAAATACTTGATTCTTACTTCAGAACATGAGCCCTCGTTTACCCTGATAAACCTACGAAAGGCTGGGGCTAAAGCAGGTTCATGACATCAGAGATACAAAGGAAGTGACTCCTGATTATGGCAGAACTTAATTATATCAGCGCCTTCAGTGAATTTCTCAGACACCCCAGAAGGCGGTGGTAACACAGACGAGTTGCTGCCAGATAACGAAGGTACAGCTGCATGAGATGTTAGCTACTCCGCACTGACTGCTCAGGTGCATGCCTCTGCCTTGCTGAAAGTCGGAGGAGGCTGACCTCTACCAAGCCCTTTCTGCAGAGCAAGAATGTCTCCACGGACAGTCAGGCAAAACAGGCAGTAATCCAACCACGAGCCCTGTCTTGGTTGCCTCGTGGTAATACATGCGGCCATCGTCTTTTGGGGAGGTCAGTTCCCAGTTTGCTCCACCACGTCCTAAAACGCTCAGAAAATACTCTAAATAAAAGAAAGATGACACAGTGTGATATTCCTGACAGCCAAAGTTAAAACACAAGCAGAAACCCCTTCCTGCTCAAGAACTTCTTTAACTTACTGTACCTTGTCTTTTCTTTAACCAAAAAGGACACAAAACCTTTCCACCAGTGGATAAGCAGGTCTCCTGGGAGGGGGTTCTTCAGAGAAAAACAGTGGAGTACACTGCTAGGAGCCTGCTTCGGTTGTTTTTTACCCTGATGCATTCATTCAATCCAGGGCAACATAGGCATAAGGTGCTACCAGCTTTAAATTACGCTGTTCCACATTTTATGCTTCCTTCCTTTGCAACTACATCAGTAGCTACAGAAAAGACAGAATCATCCATCATCTCATTCAGACTTTGTCCACCACTGTGATCCATATATGGTACAACATTAACTCTGAGTTACTACTACTTTTTCATCCATCACGTTCTCTCCTTGTTTTCCACCCCCTCTGGGATCTCAAGACTGATATTTGCTGCCTTTGAATTTTGGTTTTCACTGAATCCAGCTTCTGAATCAAAAGTTGCATCTTGGGTCCATCCAAGAGATTTTTGCAGTACTGAATGGAATTTTTGTTGTTATCGTCACAAGAGTTTGCTCTGCTGAGATACTTTACATTCCATCTGCACAAAGATCCCAGCTACGGGCAAGCCACATGTTTCTAGCGTGGTCTAGGTCCTTTTTGGGCAGGTGAGCAGAATATGGCCAACCCAAGTGCTTGCCTTTCAGGGAACAATCTAGAGGAATAAGCAGCATAAACTGCTCTAAGGGCACGATTTGCATTTCAAACAGGCAACAGCCTCAGATCATTCAAATAAAAACCCACGTTATCAGAAGCGAGGAACACAAGATCTTTTTATTACCCACTCTGCACTCACAAACAGATCCTTCCCTTCTCATCCTCACCCCATTTTATATGTAGCCCCAGCCTCCCAGACACCCACACAGACACACGCACCTTTGATCGCTGCTAGATACAAAAATCTGTTGGACTGCATCTTCCCTGCTTCACGCTCATGTACACAAAAGTACTCTCCTTTGCCCCACATAAAATCCCTTTCCAATCACTGTCTCCTTTTTTTGCACGCACAGATACACTGAGAGCCTGTACAATCTCCCAATACTTATCTATGACCAGCAGATAACCTCTCCAACCAACTGCAGATTGCTTAACCTCTGTGAACCAAAATTCACTAACTGCTTTCCCCACCCAACAAATTTTCTTCTCTGACATATACATATCCTTCTGTTTCAGGCAAACAGACATACAGTACCTCTGCACCCACACAGTCCTCCGTGCTCACGCACACACACATGTACACACACATTGGCATGCATGTGCCCATGCGTACACAAATAGTTCAGCGGTGAAACGGCGGGCCACGTTTTCAGCTAGTGAAATCAACCTTGTTCCACGGAGGTCAGTACTTTTTCCAGTACAGGTGGCACATTCCAGGCGGTTACACCGGCTGCAAAACACATTTGATAGAATGCAATCTATTTTTGGGTGCACAGTTCCCTTCAGCGTACAGAATTTGCTACAAGGTGTCACTCGAACTGAATAAACACAGGGATGTTTTTCGGGATACGAAAAAGGCCTCCCCCTCCTTTTCGCCATCTCCCTTCCTTCCTTCCTCCTCTCCAGCAGCATTGCGCGTGTAGAGACACCGCAGACCCAACTTTGCTGAAAGTCCCTGGCATTAGCGGAGAGCCGTAGAGACGCAGTCCTCAGGATTCCACTCCGTAGCACTTGTGTGGTCTGCTCTCGCTAGACAAATTATCTCCCTGAACCCTGCCTCTCTCATTCTCAGCAGCCCTGTATGTCAGAGCCTAGTAGCACTGGCTGACTTGTAATTATTTTTTACTATGCTGCTTTGTCTGCACTAATCCTTTGAAAGTAGCTTTACTGCACATCTGAAATATTATGATGCTATAAAACCTCTGTAATATTTATAAATCCCTTAAGACATCATAAAGAGAGAAAAAAACCTCCCCACAGAGTTCATCTAGCATAATTACATATACATTTCCCTCTGATTAATAAAAAATGATCACTTCCTTATGTAAAGATATTCTTCAGCTTTCTTTCATTAAGACTATTTTTTACTTCCCATTTTAAATCTGTTTCATGTGTCCCTGTATAGTAAGGTATCTCAGAAGATATTTCCCCAAAACAAAAGGCACAATGAAATGAGCCACCACGGAGAATCACCACTGGAGCTGGGAGCGAGGCGACAGAGCAGAGCCCTTCACTATAGCTTCACATCTCCTAACAGAACGTGCTGAAATATTCTGGAACGTCAAGCAGTGTGGTGTGTCATGGCACCAAACAGGAGGGAAAGGAACTGGCAAATTAAAATAAAAGGGCTGGCTTAGACTTCAGCGAAGCCGATTAAAGGAAAACCTGTAAATCCACAACCGAAGAGGAAGAAGCAGCACAGACACTGTTCACCCCTAAAAGAGCGGTGAAGAACACGATTAGCGGCTCCTGTGTTCAGTGAAAAACTATTTACACGGGGCTTGCACAGGCTGAAACTGGAACTTGGTTTTGTGCATGGGTTTTAGAAATGACTTTGAACATGGTTTTATCCTGCTCAGAACAGCACTTGGATCATATTCATGATCCAAGCTTTTCATACACAACTCCCTCTCCAGTGTCCTCCAGAATTAAATATTGCATAGCCTAAGGGAGCCACTGGGTAGCATTATAGTAACACAACCTGAAAAGGACCTGTGAAGAGGAGAAAAAAAGAGGAAACAGCTAAAATCACCAGCTTTTTTTGAATATTGTTGTAGTAATTTCTCTGAGTTTGCTGAAGACAAAAGATAGAGCCAGATCTGCCTGCCGCCCCTTAGGCAGGGATTCTTTGCTCTTTGGAATGACTCCGAGATCACCTTTGATGCCGAGGTGCCTGTCTGAGTACCAGAGCTAAAAGCCAACAGGGAGTAGGGTAAAACCAAGACACGGGAATGTCTGCAGTACTTCCAACGTCTTCCCCCATCTCAGGAGCAGCAGAGTTACAATTACAGAGATATCCCTTTCCCTAACTCCCCATCAAGCCATACCAGACGTTAGGACTAGTTAATACCATCAGTGCCAGTCACTGCTGTCCTAGCAGATTAGTCTCGGAAGAGATGCATGAGCTCTTCCCTTCAGCAAGTGCATCTATGTTACATTAAGTCAAGACTGCGATCTTTTTCCCTACCTTCTGCATTTGATAAACCCTTGGCGGAAAAGTCCTCTGAAGTTTGCAGCCTGCTCTGTGGGCTATATCTTCATTCTGAATGTGATACTAAATATTTTATTTCATGGGGTCCAATGTGATTATTACTGCTCTGCTAGAATGGTTGTGGTCAGAAAGAAAGAGAGACAGACAGAGAGGTAAACAGACAGCCATGGGAAAAAATAAAACCTACCATGCTGCTGCTGCTCCTTCCGCCCCTTCTCTGCCAACTAGTCAGCCAGCAAACACAATGCCAATTCTCTCTTTATATAGTGTCACCAAGGAATAAAAATATGCCTGCTCCAAGTTTAGACAATAGATGTAAGATTGGAAAAGTGCAGTAATTGGATCCCACTACCATTCCAAGCATCTGTTCCATGCAAGGCTTTGGCTTTCACAAAAATAATGCAGTAGATAAGCCGAGTAGGCAGTTGGGATACAATTGGACAGCGCTGACAATAAGCTAGAGCTGAAGGGGTTTTCCCATGTACTTCTAAATAACGAACACCGGGCACGCGCTAACGGGATTTTAAATGGACAAGGCACTCTGAAAATGCAGAAAGAGAAACACACTCCTTGAGAAGAAACTAACAGTAAATCCCAGCCACTGAGACACCTGGTTCCTTCAGAGTCTGGTGCCCTCATTCAGAGCCCCAGCAAAATCAGTGGGGTTCTGTATAGCTGCAACTGTAACTGGGATGTATGCTGGAAAAAGATCTACTCTACAGATGGCAATAAAGCAAGACAGACCAGGTCTGATTTCCCTGAATCTATCATACATGCCTGAAGTCCAGGGACCCAATCTCAAGCTATTGCAAATTGATGAAGAGTCATGGACTTCAAAGCATGAAAAAAAGGGGGGTGTAGCAATGAATATGGTATTGAGAGCAGGAGAAAATAGAAGGCAGCACAGGAACCACAAGGACCACGTCTCTCGGGGAATACACGTGGACATTAATACATGTACATTCCATCCAACTCATTAATCATTTTTGGCATTATAACAATAGGCCAAAGCTTTAACCAGTGCGAACTGGCATAATTCCACTGACGTGAAACCATACTTACTAATGGTCTGATATGTGTGTGTGAGAGTATCTATGTGGGACAAATGGTGTATTAAAAAAGGCAACAACAGGTTTTTCAGGAACATGCGCTAGCATCTGAAGTACATGTCTACATCAATCACACCGACTTTGAGTCTGGAAAGTGCTTAACCAATTAACTGAACTTTGAAACAGACATATGTTTAAGTATCTAGCTGAACAAGGACCTTGCTCTTTCTCCAGGTCCAGCCCCTTGCTGTGCAGTCATCTCTAATCTTAGATTTGACTGCATGCTTTTTAGGGCAAGGACTGTTTTAGCTGTTATGAAGTACCTTGAACACCTACAGGGATAATTAAGTAATAAATAAGCACAACACAGTTCCTCTGGCTTCAGCAAAATTGTTGTGGATACAAGTCAGGATTTAGTCTAGTGTTCGTTGTTCTGACTTCAGTGGAGTGATATCAAAATCTAGTGTAACGCAGCATAAAAATAAAGCCCTCACTCCACTCACCTGCAACTGCCTGGAGGACAGCAGACCCATCTTTGTATTTCAGACTGAGTTCGTTAAGCCAAAAAGCTCAGAATAAGGCTTTTGAGGAAAACGTTAGGGAATTTCAAAGGTTTGCTGTAAGCAATGGGACAAAGACTTACCATATTCACTGCTTTAGGTCCTGATCCAGCAAAGCTGTTGAGCACGTGTTTAACTTTAGCGAGGAAATAGTCCCACTGAAATGAATGCAACTGCTCACATACATACGTTTAAGAATATGGTTACATGTTTTGCAGGATCAGCGCTCTAATCCTGACAAAAGAGCCGTATGAGCAGCCGCTTTGTCATGGACTTCACTAGGCCTGGGATTCTGTCCTGTGAATTCTGTGTCCTTTTTTGGAAGGATACTTATCTTTTCATGCAACCATGTCATGTGTTTGTCCTAACAGCTCTATTAACAGATGCTTTGTACTGTTTCTCTGAGAATTTTGTTTTCTCTTATCTAGTATAGCATCAGTCATGATTATTATCAGCAATTTGCTTCTTAGTTTTCTAGCTTGATCTGCAGACATTTTCCAATAGTGCATGTATTTTCTACATTGATCTTTGTCTTTTCACAGAATTTCTACGTTAAATGAGTTCTTCCAAGCCATTTTTTAATGACATGACATGTTAGGATAAACCCCCCCACAATAACTGTGTATTTGTAATGCACATGTACTGAGAGACCAGAACCCTCTCTGCTTAGTCTATAAAACAAATCCACAGAGGAATTAAGGGAGACATACATCTTGGCTTTAAAGGTCTGCTTGCTTCTGCAACTGCCTCCAAATTATAGAAAGGCTCCAGACTGGAGAGAGGAGGGAGAGAAGGGGGGAATAGCATAAGAACTGGAAAAGAAAGGCTTGAATTTAATTGCCCTAAAAATTTCAATCATTCAATCTGGTAATTAGAGAGCTGGCTGATTCAGAAGGCAATTTCATTAAAAAAAAAAAAAAGATAATTGATGCTAAGTGAATATTTTACCTGAAATATTAAATACCAAACTTAAGTCTGCCTCCAGGGCCCTTTCTGCTACCCTTTTTTGATCTGTCTTTCTACTTCTCTGTATTTTCCTCTCACATGACTCAACAGAACAGGACGCTCCTTTAAGAATTAGATTGTCATGGGGACAGGTTTATTTGAACTCTCTGTGCTGTGAAGGAGACAACATAATGATTTATTAGTAAAGAAAATAATAATAGGAAGTCTCCTGAGACCGAGCCTGGCTGCAAATCTCAGCGAGTCCCTATGTCTCTTTGGCCATAAGCAAGGTTTGATATACTACTAATAGGAATGGCTTTCTTATGAACTTAACAATACTTGCCTGAATGTCTCATGCTTAAGTCTGGAGTCTCCGATGCTGCAAAATGATACTGAAAGGTAGACCTTTGCACTCATGCAGAGCACTGTGGATGTCAGTGTCACAGGGGTCTGATTGCACAGATCTCTTTGCAGGACGGAGAGCAGCTTTATTGCGCGCTGTTCAGAAGCAACTGTTAGTTTTCTACTTCATACCACTTCATACCACAACATTCCACTTCATTCTGCACACGGATAGGTTTCTTTCATGTCTTTGAGTGGCATGCCTTCAAAAGAAGGCGAATAATAGCTAAATATACTCAGGAACTGAAACTTCCCATATTCTGCCAGTAAGCAGGGCCAATCCTCAAAACCTTTAGAAGGGAGATGTCTCAGCCTTCACGCCAAAGGACTCCACTCCCTATGCACTGTTCAGTGCTTGATCTCTATGGCTGGTATCTAATTTGTGCTGAGTGTAAGGACAAGGCCAGGCATTTTCTCAAAATAGGATTCTCGTGAGCTCCATCCTGGCCCTCTGCACTCCGGCGAGAAGTACCTTCTGGGATTGCCAGCTTGTGCTGTTTTCTGGCGATGTCACCTGTTTGCTCGTTTCTGTATGCTCCTAACATACTCCAAGTCACAGATGTTCATTTATTCTGCAGGTGGGGAACACATATACTCAGTGATTTACCCAAATTCAGATAGGAATCTGCAGCAAAGCAGCAAAATGAAGCACTATCTGGCAAGTCCTGGCAAGTGTGCAAACCTTGGCTCATGAGTACAGATCAAGTGTCTCTCAGGTAGGAACTGTAAGTGAGAACACCAGCTTATTCCACCTAAACCACCAGCAAAAACTATCAAGCTGAGGTGGATTTCAAGCCCACTAGGGAGAATAAGCACCTTCCTCTGAACCACCCACTTTTCCTTAATTACCTTAAATTAGTGAGGAGCTCCCCTTCCTTTCAGAGCAACAATGATCCCCTTTTTCTTGCTCCCTACAGCAGTTTTGTTGGCGGCTGATTAAATCCTTGATACAGAAGACAGGTTTCTCTCTGACTCTGCTGCTCAGAAAGCCCATTGGTTAAGCTTGGCCTGATTACTGTATTTTGGAGCCTGGCAACAAGGTGAGCTTCAGAAAAGCTAGTGTTATGTCACTGTATATGAAGCTGCCTACACTTTAGGTACAACAAAGAAAGAGCTATTAAAGATACCTCTGCAGAATTTTAAGAAAATTAAACAGTACAAGCCCCACTGAGACTCTTCTCTCTCTTGAAAAGAGACACACAGACCTACTTGAAAACAGCCAGGACTGCTGCAGTTAATTAAGTTTTGTGCTTTTGTTGTTCAGGATGCTGAATCCTGATCTCCTTCTCTGACTTCCCCCTCCCTCTCTGAGAATTCATAGCAACTATCTAATCTGACAAAAACTGTGTTCTCTTTTATACTTGGAGGTCACTTTATGTTACTTACAGTGTGTTGCATTGTGTCAAAAGGCATAATACAACATAATGAAAAGCAGACTAATATAACTCAACATGACATGAATGACATAATATGATGTGGCCACTGAAAAATGCACCGTTGCCATTGTTTTGTGTTTTCATTTGATACCTCTTTGCTATTCCAGCTTTGGGCATTTGTTGTGGAATTTGGGGAGGAGATTATGGACGAGTGTGACTGATTCTTCGGTGGCTCCCATCATTTTTGCACTGGGATCACTTCATTGGCTTTGCTGGGGTTCCTCCTTATTTACGCTAGTAAGAATCAGGCTCTAAGGAAATCATCACATAAAATGCAATTATATTAGGAGAGCCATTAAGTTGGAAAGTGCAACTCCTGGGAGTAAGGAAATGACAACACTGTTATAGTCCCTGTAACCTTAGCTCTGCCCTCTTGGGTAGTAAATGAGACTGTACTATTTTTCCTGAAGGATGTCATTTCATTTTGTAGAAATGTGTAGCAAAGCAGCTGTTCAGTATTTCTTTTAACTTCGTCACATAGGCTGTGGTCCCGTATCTCATTTGCTGCACATCAACCAAATCCTTTTGTGAGTTAGGTCCTTTTCTTCTTCCTATTTGTATTCACTTTTGAATTGTTCTAATTATCGCAGTATGTGTGCGTTTCAAAACCAAGGCTGAATCTGTCTTCCCAACACACCCACAAGGTTGAGAAACACTGTTATTCCTCATTTCACAGACAGAGAGCAGAAGCACAAAAAATTATCTTACTATAGGCCCAAGGGGAAGTCAGTCAGAGACGAGACTAGAACCCAAGGGAGCAGAATTCCTGCCTTTTCCATTATTTCTTTATTTTTCATCTCCTGACTACCTTATACTGCCCATTCTCCCAGTG